TTTGCATCAATGTTCATGAGTGAGATTGGTCTGCAATTCTCTTTCTTAGTTGTGTCTGTGTAGTTTGGGTATCAGGGTAATGACAGCCTCAAAAAGAAAGAAAGAAAGAAAGAAAGAAAGAGAGAAAGAAAGATTTTGTCAGTGTTCCTTCTGTTTCTGTTGTGTCAAACAATATGAGGAGTATTTGTTCCACACATAGCTCTTCTTTGAAATTCTGGTAGAATTCTGCTCTGAAACCATTTGGCCCTGGGCTGTTGTTGTTGGGAGAAATTTGATGACTGCTTCTCTTTCCTTAGTGGTTATAGGTCTATTTAAATTGTTTATCTGATTTTGATTTAATTTTGGTATGTGGTACCTATACAGAAAATGTCTATTTTATATTTTCCAATTTTGTGGAGTATAGGTTTTTGAAGTATGATCTAATGATTCTCTGTCTGTAGATATGCCCCTTTTCATTTATTTTATTTTTTAAAAGAAAACAAACTATCTTTTTTCATTATACATACCAACCCAAGTTCCTACTCCCTCACCTCCTCCCATTCCCTCTACTTGTGCTCCTCAGAGGGTAAGGTACATTGCTTTGGGTAAAATCCAAGGCTCTCACTGCTATATTTAGGCTAAGCAAGGTATCCATCCAAAGAAAATGGATTCCCCCAAAGCCAGTACAAGCAGTAGGGATAAATTCTGGTGCCACTACTCGTGGCCTCAGCCATGCAACTCTCAACCACATTCAGAGGTACTAGTTTGGTCCTATGTTTGTTTCTTCCCTATCCAGCTGGACTTGGTGAGCTCCCATTATCTCAGGTAAACTGTTTCAGTGGGTGTCCCCATCATGGTGTTGACTTCTTTGCTCATATTCTCATTCCTCCCACTCTTCAACTGGACTTTGGGAGTTTAGTCAAGTGCTCCGATGCAGGTCTCTTGTCTCTGTTTCCATCAGTTGCTGGATGAAGGTTTTATGGTGATATTTAAGACATTCATCAGTCTGACTACAGGGCAAGGCCAGTTTGGGCACCCTATCCTCTACTGCTTAGGGTCTTAGCTGGGGTCATCCTTGTGGATTCCTGGGGATTTCTCTAGTGCCAGGTTTCTTGCTAGCCCCATAATGGCTCCCTCAATCACGATATCTCTTTCCTTGTTCTCATCTCTGCACTTCCTCCATCACGACTATCCCATTCCCTCAAGTTCTCCTCACCCCTCCCCTTCTCACTTCATCTTCCCCCTCTGCTCTCTCTACTTCCCCCCACCCCCATGCTCCCAATTTTGTCAGGAGATCTTGTCTATTTTGACTTTCCAGGTGGATGTAGATATGTTTTTCTTAGGGTTCACTTTGTTACTTAGCTTCTCTGGGATCATGAACTATAGGCTCAATATTCTTTGTTTATAGCTAGTATCCATTTATGAGTGAGTACATACCATATTCATATTTTTGGGTCTAGGTTACCTCACTCAGGATAGTGTTTTCTAATTCCATACATTTGCATGCAAAATTCAAGATGTCATTTTTTTTTTACTGCATAGTAGTACTCTAATGTGCAAATGTCCCACATTTTCTTTATCCATTCTTTAGTTGTTTCTAGTTTCTGGCTATTACAAATAGTGTTGCTATGAACATAGTTGAACAAATGTCTTTGTAGTATGATTGGGCATCTTTTGAGTATATTTCCAAGAGCGGTATTGCTGGATCCTCAGGTAGGTTGATTCCCAATTTTCTGAGAAACCACCATTCTGATTTCTGAAGTAGTTGTACAAGTTTGCATTCTCACCAGCAATGGATGAGTGTTCCCCTTGCTCTATATCCTCTCCAGCATAAGGTATCATTGGTGTTTTTGATCTTAGCCATTCTGACAGGTGCAAGATGGAATCTCAGAGTTGTTTTGGTGTGCATTTCCCTGATGGCTAAGGATGTTGAATATTTGACTAATGGGCCAAGCAGTGTTTTAATGAATATGGTTTCTGTGTGATTATTTTGGTTCTGGGTGGCCAGGACAAGCAAGTTGTTCCTTGCAACAAATATTTCCTTAAGTGTCTTTCAGCCATTTGAGATTCTTCTGTTGAGAATTCTCTGTTTAGTTCTGTACCCCAGTTTTAACTGGGTTATTTGAAATTTTGATGTCTAATTTCTTGAATTCTTTATATATTTTGGAGATCAGTTCTTTGTCTGATATGGGGTTGGTGAAGATCTTTTCCCATTCAGTAGGCTGCCTTTTTGTCTTGTTGACTGTGTCTTTTGCTTTACAGAAGTATGGGGATGGGAGAGTAGTGAGGGCAGAAGGGGAAGATGAGGGGAGAAGAAGAGGAGGAAAGAGAACTCGAGGAATGGGATAGTCAAGATAGAGGAAGAATAGAGATGAGAGCAGATAAAGAGATATTTTGATTAAGGGAACCATTATGGGGCTAGCAAGAAACCTGGCACTAGAGAAATTTCCAGGAATCCACAAGGATGGCCCCAGCTAAGACCCAAAGCAATAGAGGAGAGGGGAGTAGAGGAGCTGAGACTATGCAGTGTGGAGGAGTAGAGGAGCTGAGACTGTGCAGTGTGGGGAGTAGAGGAGCTGA